CAGGACTATGGGGGACCTGTGCTGTTTTGGTTTAGGCTGAGACGGACCCCATCACGGAGGAGAGTGCATTTTGGGGTCTTTTCCCGTTGTGGATTATTTTTTTTCTTTTAATTAGAGGACAGGTTGTGGCAAAATACGTAAGCCGATTGGTAATTATAAATAGGTGGTGGGTTGTTTTCCGAATTAGTGTTAATTTTATTCCGCTATTCATCCTCATTGCTGGGGCAAAAGGTACATGCCTAAAAATAATTTCTTCGTACTTTCAAAACTTTCATTGTCATCATGAATCAGATCATCAACAACTTTCATACAAGTACTTTGTATGTGTCTGTCATTTTCCCCTCTCTTTCATTCCTCCCTGTCTCTCTGTCTCTGACTTCCCCTCACCCTCTCACTTGCCCCCCCCCCCCCTTCAAGATTTTACTATTCAATCTTTCTGTATTCGTCTGTCTTGTTTTCTGTCTGTTTGTCTGTCTATTTCTTTCTGTTTCTATCTCTCTCTTTCTGCCTATCTGCCAACCCCCTCTCTCTCTCTTTCTGTCTCTGTCTCTCCTCCCCCCCTCTCTCTCTCTGTCTCTGTCTCTCTCCCCCCTCTCTCTCTCTGTCTCTGTCTCTCTTCCCCCTCTCTCTCCCTGTCTCTGTCTCTCTCTCCCTTTCTCTCTCTCTCTCTCTCTCTCTCTCTCTCTCTCTCTCTCTCTCTCTCTCTCTCTCTCTCTCTCTCTCTCTCTCTCTCTCTCTCTCTCTCTCTCTCTCTCTCTCTCCCTCTCTCTCTCTCTCTCTCTCTCTCTCTCTCTCTCTCTCTCTCTCTCTCTCTCTCTCTCTCTCTCTCTCTCTCTCACCAAAAATAACCTACAGCATTTTTTTCGCAAGTCAACTCGAAACACAGGTTTGGTTTATTCAGATTAATCGCAAGCATCATAATTTTATTTCAATTAATTTTAGAAAATGTTAAAAAAAATAATTAATCAGGGAAATGCATAGATTATTCTCCTACTTTAGATCTATTTCTCTGTTGTTGTTTTTTTGTGCTTTATTTATTTATGTATATGTCTATTTATGTCGCAGTCACATCCATACCCGGCGCAATATTCGCACATGTTAGTAAAACTGCGTTTCATTTTTTCTACGTTCACAGTCTCGCTCACAGAGATCTCTGCAATTACATTCAATAGATATTATGAAGAAGAGAAGGCGCTACTAGTTCAAGATGGTTTTCAGATTAGTCGAATATAATGTTCTATCTTGCCAATTATTGCTTTTCATGAAGACACGAAATTACTGATGGTGGGATGCAGCTGATACTGGCGACAGTTTAATTTTGACATGCACAGGTTGTTGAGAGCTTGTCTTGAAGTACAAATGGTAAATCAAGATTACTATCTGCCTATGCTGCATATGTTCCCAAAAGAAAAGCATCTCTAGCTTCAGTTATCATCTGTAGTAGCTTGTGGGTTATCTATTTTTTTCAGCTTTTGTTGAAATGTCCGATTTTTTTTCACAGTATCGAAAGAGAATTATTTCCCTTATCATAGACTGGAACTGCACGCAGGAATAACATGATCGCAGTCATATTACCCATAGCAATTTTTTTCAAGGCGATTTTTTTTAAGGAATCAGCATTTTAATGCATAGGTGAGCTTTAGCAAGGAAAAAATTAATGGAAGGTTTGTGTTTTCCCCAGTAAGAATTAAATTCCATCCTGATTCCCCTGCACCAATTGCTGTTGTAACTACTTGGATATTAACTTTTTCCTTTGCAACAAGCAGTACCTAGTTGTGTCGATTTTTTTTTTTCTTTAGTTTTTTTTTTTTTTTTTTTTTTTTTTTTTTTTTTTTTTTTTTTTTTAAGAAAATCCTGCAGAGGTGATCGGACAGGTAAGTGTTTAACTACAAATACATCGCAAGAAATCATTTCTCCAAGAAAAAATATTTATTTTTGTTTAGTGCTTTAATTTTCTCAAACATGAAATGCATTTATGATTTCACACAGTTAATCCATATTGCATTTTAAGCTTATTTTAGATTTGACGACGATGGGAATTGCAATATAATTGCGTTGTATGAAATTCTTTTTGTGGAGAATGATATTGATGATACAACCATCATCACGGGTATAATTGTTACATCATATCTAACTTTAACATTTAAGAAACCTGTCTTCATGCTCAAGATTATTACAATACCTTTTGATTCTATTTTATATAATTAAAAAATGCCAATATGTGGCCACTGGAGTGCTTTTCTGTACACAGTACATTAAAAAAATAATTTTCCATATCTTACGGGTATAACATTATGCATAACAAGTATCATCAGAATTGCATTTTATTAAATAAAACGAGTCTCTTTCTCTCTCCCAGTGTATCTGCTTGTCTGGCAGTCTCTGCCTCTGTCTTCTTCCCCCTGCCCTCTCTCCCCTCTCTGTAACGCACATATCGTATCGTTAATTTTTATTTGTTTTATCTTTGGTTGGTCTACCTGGTTATCGTCAGGTTTTTACTATTCATTATTTCTTTTCCACTTGCTGGTATTAAATTAAACACAGTGTTCTTTTTCTCCTTTATACAACCAATGCGCGCAATATAGTACATAAATCATCTCTTCGCATAATAATATAATGAGATTCACGGACTCTCTCTTAATACCATCTATCTACTGCCACGACTCTTCGCCCCGGACACAGCCAAGGTCTTGGGCACAGGTTCCATTTTGCTGACTCTACTAACAAAACCAGATTTATCCAGTCTTCATTCATTCCCTCACGCCTCTCCCACGCGTCTTTCATACTCCGATTCACGCTTTCTCACTCATCTCAATCATTCCAGGATTGTCTGATATGGTTGTCCCATTTCACATTCCCCGGGCCGATCTGAAACGTCCCGGTTCATCTGCAAGAGATTGATGATTTTCCTTCGGTGAGGAAAAGGGCACCTGACTATGAGGGATGAAAGGGAACTTGGTCATGATAGATTTACTATATTGTGAGGTTCTACCACATTGTGGAGCTCACGGTAATTTTTCATGTATGTAGATAACTTGGCCTGAGCATTAATAACATGTTTAGTGACGTTATGTATGGGCTGTAGGCTTGTGGCAGACCGTTGGTTTAAATGAGGCGATGGCAGTCAGAGCCAACATCCGTTGGACGTCGCCCATATCTACGGTCTTAACATTTAGAAAAGTGGTTCCCAACTTTTTTTCATTCTGTGGCCCCGACCATTATCTAATGATCTCCATGGTTCACTCTCTGTCTTTTTTCAGATTCAGTTCTTATTAATTATGAATAGTGTAATGGTTTCAGTAGCTATAGGACAAGATCACTTTATGGAAAGATTCCAATTTATTGATATGTGATCAATTCGACGTCATAATTTCCATATTGCTCCATAGCCCCCCTGAAAAGTACCCTATGGCTCTTTTGGGTGCCATGGCCCCCAATTTGGGAACCCTTGATCTAGAATATCATCAGCGAAATCTTTCACTCGCGGCGGTTTTAACACAATATATCATTTATTCACTCGGAGGGGGCAAGATGCTGGAATGGTCAGTGTACAATTGCCATTAATGTTGTGAGAAGATGACATATCCCTGGATTTTAGTGCTGAAGGCGTGTAAGTGATTATGGAATAAAAATCTCTGAATTTTGTAAAGAAAAAAAATGGTTAAGAGTGTCTAGTTACCGAAATGCTTCATTCTATAGGAATACCTTAATGCCTTAATAATATCTCTATTGATGATATGTAACAAACAGTTCTCCTCTGGCTTAACAAATTTTAGATGAATTGATTAACATGAATTCTGCATCCTTCGAGATGCCCCTGAAAAAATAACAACTTGTGTTGTGTAAGAGTACTGCAAAATGTTGGGATATGCTGAAAAAAAGAAGTTACCATCAGCTGGGATGGGTGTAACGTGTGTTGTATTGTGTACATTTATCAGCCATTGATATCTACTAAATACAATAATATTACACGTGTAAAAACGTTGCACTTCAAATATCCCGACAAATCATAAATAACTGTGGAACCAAAATTATTTTTTCACAGGGTCAACGATGTCTTTGGGGATTAGAGAGGTTTTCCATCCATCGGTGTTTTCCCAGGTTTATCTCATCATTACTGTTACGGGGTCCGTTAGAAGAATTAAATTATTTAAATTGTTCTGCCCATTTCTCAAGTTGCTAATGTACCTATACGATTTTCTGGTGACGGATTCTCTCTCTCTCTCTCTCTCTCTCTCTCTCTCTCTCTCTCTCTCTCTCTCTCTCTCTCTCTCTCTCTCTCTCTCTCTCTCTCTCTCTCTCTCTCTCTCTCTCTCTCTCTCTCTCTCTCTCTCTCTCTCTCTCTCTCTCTCTCTCTCTCTCTCTCTCTCTCTCTCTCTCTCTCTCTCTCTCTCTCTCTCTCTCTCCCTCCCTCTCTCTCTCTTCTCCCCCCCCCTCTCTCTCTCTCTCTCTCTCTCTCTCTCTCTCTCTCTCTCTCTCTCTCT